ATCTTAGTTTAACTTCAAAAACTCTCTTAGATCATAAATTCTGATTTGTTCCATAATGCATATCACCGTTGGGGGTTTTTTTCAGTCCAATTTTAAACATGTTGTGAAGACTATTACACTGATTATAAATGTTATTGTTGAGAAGATACCCTGAGTTATTCTTCTTGTCAGTTCGTCATGACTGTGCAGGAGGTGTCAATACATTTCATCAAGAGAGCAGGCTTTCTGTGCTTGTCTCCGTTTCCAGAAACATTAATGTAGGACACAAATCTCTGGTGTTACAGAAGAAAGCCAGTTGCCTACCATAGCTGTTGGACTAGAAAGTCGTAGGATTAGAAAGTCTTTCTGTAGTCAGGTCATTCAGACTTGCTCCACTGCTCGTGCTTTCTGGGTCTGTGCAATGGCTTGCTGATAGGGAATGTTTTTGTTCACATGCAGAGATTTACTGCTGTGGGTTGCTGAGCACCAGGAAGAGTGACTGCACAGGCCTACCTCCATCCATGCTGAACAACCCTGAAACTCCCCAGTCCAGAGGACAGTACAGAATAAGAATGAAGGGAAACATGTCCTTGATCTGCTGGTACAATAAAGGGCACTTCCGTTTTCTGACCAACGCCTATTCACCGGTTCAACAAGGTAAGCAATATTCCTACTGCTCATCTCAAAAGTGCACGTGCTTTATGTGACAAGGCAAAATGAGTCATTGAGTTTGATAATAAGCCTCAACAAAGGGCTTGATCGTAATATCCTAGATAAACAGCAGCTGTAGTGATTACTTCCCTTTTGTGTCTTCCTACAGCTATTCTTTTTTCCCATACAAAGGTTAAAAGCCTACTGCTAATGCAGCCTCCTTTGCCTGAGCTGGTGGAGGTAGTGTCCTCTTAGGTATAAAGACTGTATCTTTGCTGATGGTGAGAGAAGGAAGTATGGTGGTTGTATAATGTTATACCAGCCCCATTTGCAAAGCATCTTGTAGGACTGCAGCTACAGAAAAATTAATAAACGTCATGATGTACTTAGAAATCTGAGCAGATCCCACAATTAATTTATTTTATCCAGTAAAAACATAGTCGCAAACAAGCGTCTTTTTGCCAGAAGTAAATATGATTAATACTTCCTGCTGTACGTTAAATTGATTTTAGTAGTTGATGGAAAGAAACCAAAACTTGGATAGTTCAAATAATTGCAAAGAGCTTCTTGATACTGAAATCTTTTTCTTTTCAAAAGTATACAGGTGGTTTTAAGAAGGTTTGGAAACTTCTGTAAGATGCAATATGATTAGCGAACTTTTTGAAATTAGTCTTTCAGTGAAAATACTGTTTTGGTTTCTTTTCATTTTTATTATTCAGATTTATGTATAACTGCCTGAGACAAATAGGAGTAACCAAAACCTTTAAATGTAAAGTCACCAGTTCAAAGGCATCTTGTACACTCATGTTCTGAAACCTGTGTGACTCTCACATGTGTGTACAGGCTACAGAAGCAAAGTTAAGTTGACTTAGTATGTTGTTCAGTGCTTTGCCAGAAGGCATGGCTGATCTTGAGGAATTCTGCCAGGCATCCCAGCAGAGCGAGGACTTGGTGACTTGGATGGACCAGTCTCTGAGCACAAATGCTGAAAATATGTATGTGAAAGGAATATGATGTTTTGGGGACCCCGCTGAAGTCAGTCCATGGAGCAGTGTTGCTCCCCATGAGGGATGTTCTTCACCATCAGGGTTTGTTCTGTTTCCCTTGTGCACTTTGTTGAATTTAGATTATTCAGCTGTGCTAACTGGACAAGAGCTATCACTACGTCACCTGGTTTTTTATAGGCTAGCACAGAGCATTTGCTTATAATTTACAAATATTACTAGAAAAATACTGTGTTTGTAAACATCAGTGTTAACTGCCCCATTAAAAGAGGGAGCAAAAGCAAACTTTGTGCTGGCAGCATCCTTTACCAGCAGCACACGGAGGTGCTTGTGATTGACCTTACATCTGTTTTGGCATAGATGGGACTGTAGGTTGCACGTGTGAGGTAGCTTAACGTCCACTGATTAGGACCTGTGTATGTGATGGGCAAGACCTGCCCAACACATTGTTCCCAATGGCTGGCTGGGACAGCTGACATAGTTCATGGTGAATCAGAGCAGAAATCAGAGACTGGCTTTTTAAAGAGTGGTGCTGGGGGGAAGAGAGTCTCTAGTGGAGAGCTGGGAACAGATGGAGACTCGGTAGGAAGGCAGGAGACCAGATTGCCTGCCTCTAATTTGGCATCTCAGCAGTCAGTGCAGCAAAACTAGTTTAAACCAACTTGAAGCTGGACCACCAAAGTCGCCTCCAAGGTGTGTAAATGTAGAGGAGAAGAGGAGGAATCTGTGCTCCTTGGGGCAAGCCTGTAGCACAGACCTGCTGATCACGTGTGTTGGACAGGAGAGGAGATAGCGATAAAGGGGAATAAAACCCATGCAGGGTAGTTGCACAGAGACTGGTGCCAGTGGGATTGCCTGACGATGCATGGTGTGTGTTTGCACTTGGTTGAATGTTAATGTTGATGGGGGTGGAGGAGGCCATGAAGAGAAAACCTTAAAAACAGAAGGCAAGAGATGGTCAAAATAAAACTTAGGATGAGAAAAGAGGTGGATGCAGCTAATGAAGAGCTATTTATTGCAATTTAAAGGAAAGTTGAGAAGGTAAATTTTGCCTGTACTCAGAGTGCAAATCCCACCCAAGCCAGATACACCGGGAAGGCAGTACATGTGTCAGAGCTGATCTATGAATACTATTCTTAGATGCAGCAGGTTATTTATTATGGATGTTTTGAACCAACGTGTCATAATACATCACCTCAGATGGTAAAGAATGAGTCTTATTCCTTTAGTCTTGCAAAAATGTCCTGCTTACTCTATCAAGTATGAAGTTTCTGCCTAGAACAAAATTCAATGGCGTTTTTAATTTCCCTTAAGCTCTAAAATGAGTTTTATTTTTTCCTTGTGCCGATATTACAGAAGAACTGAGAAGCCAAAAAAGATGGTGACTCCCAGAGAGTAAAAAGTTACCCTTATTCTAAAGCAGGTGGTGAGTGTGTTGGCCCAAACCTCCCCATCTGTGGGACAAGGCTGTGTTTTTTGTTTTCCACTCTAGATCTGGTGCCCCCTTTCCTGACAGCTCCATTACTGCGTTCTAGAAATAACTACAGTCTTTTCTATTTTTCATGTGAAGCAGGATGGAGGAGGCAGCAACCTCACTTGCTGCACAGCAGGATGACCAGAATGACACCTTTAGCAAAAACTTGTTGAACCCGAGATCTTTTTAAGAAGCAGCTTCTTTTTGAGAATAGCTTTCACAGCTGCTCTTCACCAATCATCTCTACTTAAAAGATAAATGGGCACTAGCTAAGGATAGAAAACAAAGCTTGGGCCACATACACAGGACTAAATAGCTGCAAATGGCCCATTGGCATCTGACTTATGAGAAGATGGGAGATGGTTTGGAGACATCGCAATGGTATGAAGCCGTTGTTTAAGTCGCAGTGTGGTTCTTAGCCCAGGAGAAGCTGAAGTGAGGAGTGTCTGGTGACAATCTAGTTTCCTGAAAAAATTGGCTTGTGAGATTGGCCCAGAACTGGAAAGTCTGGGGAAAGAAGCATAATGTTCAAACGTATGTTTCAGGACAGGGAAGCTTAGGGTCTTGACTTTAAATTTCCATGCGTTTGTGAGACTGTTCAGGGGGTTGTGTCCAAGTATGGTGAGACTGGGGATGGGGCCAGAAGACCTTGAATATTAGACCTTGTACAATGCTGACTGTCTGCAATTCTGCTAACTGTAACAAACCTAAGTCCTGATAACTAGCCATATAGCAGTTGGAACAGGTAGTGCCCCCTCTGTTATATTACATTATGCAATCTCAGTGTTTTCCAAGGTGGATGCAAGTGTTAGTATTACTGAGCTTCCATTTTTAAAAAACATGATTCTAGCTCCTAAAATCACAGATTGGCTTAGAATAAGTGTTTTGAGGAAACTAACATATGTACACCGTTGTCTTTCTGCTTGTTTCATTTGGGTTGGTATTTCCCAAGCTTTGCTTTACAGGCATACACCTTCAAAACTTTTTGTTAAAAAAAAAAAAAAGATTAAAAAAACCCACACAAAGCCAAAGGCTGATGTCTATCCACGGTGGCAGCATGGAGGCCGGCAGCTGGCACCCCTTCCAGCATGCAGGCAAAGGCAAGCCACGGCTGCAGCGCAGGCAGTGTGTTCCCTGGAGTGCTGCCAGGGATGGGAACACAGCGATGCTGGGGAGGACCAGGTGGGGAAATAGCTCATCGGATGGGCCGGTGAGTCAGCGGGCTTGGGACCCCTTGCCACAGAGACCTGCGGCTAGGAATGACCCAGCTCTGGCAGTTGTCTTCCCTGGAGAGGTGGCCTATGGCTACGAAACAAGCCTAGGAAAGGCTATAAAAATAATGTGCCTATGAAGCTATTTATACTCTCAAAACAGAGGAAGGTTATGTGGAAACCTAAGAGAAAATGAGAGAGAGTATATGGTACCCACATAGCTGACACGGCAATGCATTTTTTTAAGGATTGTGAATACAAAGCAAATTGCAAAGGAAATATAAAGCCTCCAAAGGAAGAGGGGGAAGAAAGAGAAGAGAGGATAGCAAGAGGAGAAAGAAGGGGATTTTATTTGTAAAACTCGGAACATACTTACCCTTTCCTGACCTGCTGAGGTGGGATGTCAAGTGATTTTGCAGCACTGACACAGCAGGCTGGTGGTATATCAGCCCTTTTTACCTCACGCTGGCCAGATTTTCGTAGGACTCATTAAAAAGATCAAAAAAGCAGTATAATAAGTATGTGAATGTAATGAAGGATTTCCTTATTTGATTGCGTTTTTCCCCTCCCCTTGGGCTACATTTACACCCAGCTTGGGGAGGCAGAGGTGAAAGGAGAGCACATTGAACAATTTAGAGCTGATATTATTTTGGACTCTTGAAAAATCAGACTTTAAAGACCCCAAATAAATTGCTACCTGGCTCAGCTGTAGCAGGACATTTAGTATGTGTCATAAGTCTTGCTTCAAAATAGAACGTGCCAGCTAGGACAGCACAGGGGGCTTGACAGAGATAATGGATGGAATGGGACTTCCAGCTGAAGGAATGAAATGGTGAAGTCTGTAATCAAAACATGAGGAGCATTTTAGGGATGATTGTAAAAGAGTTGGCAGGAGGAAGGCAATGAGAGTTTGAAGGCATGAGAAAGCCCAGAATTGTACCTGTACTGGAACAATGCTGACAAAGGATGCAACCAAGCCTGTGCTTCTCTAGTCCTGGAGAAAAAGTGTTGTGCCTGGAGAGAGTAGGGATCCTCGCTAGACAATGTGCCGTAGACATGGAGCAAGAAGTGATCCATACCCTGGAGAGCTGACCATCAAACCCTGTGGGGACGTAAAGTCAAAAGGGAACAGACCTCTATACTGTAAGTTTGTTTTACTCATCCTTCCCTCCTACAAGGAGCTTCCCTCGGATAGGGAAAACACAGAGGACAGAAGCAATAAATCAGAGAAGGGGAAGTTTGTTGGGAGAGCATTGGATTCATAAACACTGCTGTAGTGTTGGAGAAGGCCAGGTCAAAGATGCACAATGCGAGGGAACAGGGCCCATCCTTGGAGTAACTTGCTCTAGGCAAGTACCACATCTTTGCGTATGCAGAGAGCGGTTAGTAGGTAGCTGCAGGAGACTTACGACAGATTTCTGCAGTAGGCAGGAAGATCGTCCCCTGTGATGAGCTGAATTACCTAGCCAGCTGACGAGGCAGGGCAGGAAACATCACTCACAGGCAGAGAAATGTGTACTTGGCTCCACTGAGCAACCTGAGCATACATCTAAGCTCTGGCTCCCCACAGCAGTGAATCAGGCTGCTTCTCATTTCAAAGATACTGTGGTTGTGACTCCTTCAGCTCACCCACTACCATCACCTCTGTCTTGACTGTGTTTAGTCATTTGGTTCCTTCTTATTGTATTTCCTTTTCTCTGCCAGGTAGCACCCAGTGGAGTGGAGGTACTGTTGCTCTTGGCTCCTGTGGGTAGAGATAAGCAAAGGATTTTGTTTCAAAGGACTCATTTGGGACCTTCAGAACTCAAAGCATAAAATAGCAAGCCACAGCTCTAGGGGTGACCACAACTTACTGTGAACCAACAGAGGAGAGACTAATACTGTCTGTAGGGGGTTACTGTGGGACTACAGCAATGTGTGGGTTTTTTTCTGGACATATGGTAAAAGTGTTTGTTTCTAACGCCTTTTCATTTCCAACTGAAAAATGATCCCTCTTCTTCTCCTTCCACTTGCTTAATGTTCGACCAATGGGAAAAAAAAAATCAAACTAGCATCTCTGTTACAGATTACTTCCCCGTTTTAGGGCAGAAACTGTCAATAAGGTTTATTTTATAACAAACAATATATAGAAACCATATCTTTTAGTTGCTAGACCTATGACATGGATTTAAAACTGTTATGTTTCTAATTGATGCAGGAGTTATAATTAAAAGAAAAAGTGGAGAAATACCATGCCCGTTGGCAGTTGAAGCCTTTGCTGCTCACCTTAGTTATATCTGCAAATATGACGACAAATACAGCAAGTAAGTAAGATTACGTGCATGTGTATATCTTTCACTCCTCTGTTGCTGCGATGTTTTGAGTTTTACATGTGAGCTGCAGCTGAGGGCCTAATCATGCTTTCACAGAACTAATCTCTGACAAAACTCCTGTTTCAGTCAAAGATCAGAATCTGGCTCCATGCAAGGGCAAGAGCTGCATTGCTGGTGTTGTCTTTGGCTCTAACCACCCATCCACCAGTCAAAAAAAATTGAAACTTATGTTCTTAGCATCTTGTACATGACTTTAAGAAGTGTTGGGAAGATAGAGAGTTCAACAAGGGTCTACCAGCCCCACAAGTCTCTGTCTAGCTCAGCTCTCCACCCCATCAGCAGATGGTGTTTAGGTGATTATCTGTCCCGATGATATTTGTGTCACCTGGAGTCAGAAGAAAGGGACGTTTCTGTTGTGGATGTAAAGCTGATCTAGAAGATCTGGGAGAGCAGAATGTAGATCTTTTGGCTCCTGAATTCCAGTTGGGGTCCTCAGTTTTAGCTCTTTATGTAGCAGGGAGAAACAGAAATGAATAAGAATAGCGATGTTGAAGCTTGGCTGTGGGAATAGTGATGAGGTGCAGAAGAATTCAGGAATTAAAAATTGAGAGGAGAGAGAAAAAGCAGCAGGGATTTTCCAAGCCAGTTCTGGGCAAGGCAGCAAGAATGCAGTAGAAGAGATCAAAGAAGAGGAGGTGGTTGCTGGAGACCAATGTTGGGATCTGATCTGAGGAAATAAATATGAAAAAGAGGTGAGGTAATAGATATAAATGGTCGCTGAAGAAATGAAACTAGGAAAGTGGGAAATCTTATGATCGAAGAGCGAACATTCTGGCAGTCCTAGAATTAGTCAGAACCTAAATATAAGGATGTCATTCCTTTCTAGTTCTGCCTTATGGAGAGGTGCTCCACATACCAGCGCTACACGCTCTGGCTCTACCTCCACATCCTCCCACTTGCTGTTGACAGCAGCAGAAATCATTCTTTGCTCACAATAGAGATAAACAAGAGGAGAAGCATCATCAGTGTTCCCTAAAGTGTAACGTAATGTGCCTGAGGCTTATTTTTAGTTACAAATTGAAGAGATTCAGACCCACAGCTCCCATCATGTGGATCTTTGTCACCAGTAAGCTCAAGGAGTCTGTATCGGTACTCTCACTTAAGTGGAGGGGTACAGAGGTGAGAGTGTTGCTGAGGTTTCGCTTCTGAGAGCAAGGAAGTCTGTTTTTTTAGACACTACTAGAAATTTCCAAAATTGTGCGACTTGAGTGTCAGTGACTGTCGAATACATTGTACAAAATTTCTTGAGATGATACTTGTACTAGGTATTAAGTCCTGGGCCTGCTTCCCCTTTGGGACTGCAGAATCTTTGCCTGGGGTTATTTCTTGCATCCCAGCTGCAAGTGTTAGGCTGAACAGTGCTTTTCTCTCCCCTTCTCTCTTGGCTTTTCAGGTATTTCATTTCTCACAAACCAAACAAGACCTGGCAACAAGTATTCTGGTTTGCCATCAGCATCGCTATAAACAATGCCTACATCCTCTACAAAATGTCAGAGGCCTACCACGTGACAAGGTATAGCCGTGCACAGTTTGGTGAAAGACTTGTAAAGGAGCTTCTGGGCTTGGAAGACACCTCACCCTCCCATTGATGCATTGTTCTTGGTGGCGTAGGCAGGGGGTGGAGGGCAAGCAGAAGAAGATACCACACCTGGAAAAGCAAAGCAAGGAACTTGTGACTCCACCAGTGCTGTCTTTATCCAGAAATGCCAAGTGATGCCACTAGAGAGGTGGAAACTTTGTTCCTAGTAGCAGCTGGATGTAAACATGTCCTACAGGAAGTGCCACTGGAAAAGCTGACACAAAATTGCGTACGTGAGTGCCCTGTGGGAATCTGTACACCAGAAACAGACTTAAATTAGTCATCTCAGTACTATTTGTTGAACAGGGTCATCTTGTGTGAAGGTCCTCTTGGGCTAAGAGCTTGTCATAAGCTGACCGGGCTCAGCAGTCCTAGGTGGGCGTTACAGAAAACTCTATACCTTACTTGGAGTTGTTCAGTTCTGGGACAAGCAACGTAAGTCTGCACCGTGGGCTGCAGCTGAGAGCGCCTGCCAGCCTGTAAGGCGTCACTGCTGTCCTCCCCGCGTGCTCAAAAGTACACGAACAGTGAAGCAAGCGTATTGACAAACAAAACCTTCGCAGGCAGGCAGCCAGGACCTGAGGACCAGTTAAGACTTTTTCTTTCTGTCTTTTTATTTTTTTCTTTGTTTTTATTAATGTAATGTAAAGCAACTTGATCCCAGTTAGAACACAGCGAAATTAGGAGAAACCAAATATGTAGTGAATTTAAAATGGAAATACATTACATTGATTTTCTTTTTTAACCAGGATGAAACATTTTATACACAAACAAACAGTGAGTAATACTGTAAGTATTGACAGTGAGTAAACCAGTAAGTAATACTGCCTCACATCTTAACTGCCACGGTCAGTGTACAGGTGAGAAATCAGAGTATAACAATTATATTTTTTCTTTAATCCAACTGTATCCATCTTAAATGTTGCTTAAAAATCTAATGTAATGGACTGTTAAGTTTTTAGGAACAACAATTTCTTTTCCTTTTGTAACTGTCAAGACTTTCTTGGTCCATTTTAGAACTTCATTTGGCACACACTTGGCAGGAAAAAAATAAGTCACTAATAGCAGTGTGTTTTCCGTTATCACTGCAGGGTGTTCTTGTTAGAATTCAGGGCTTGTCACAGTAGTTGCAATTAAGCAGATTACGTGTTTAGCAAAAGAACGTAGCATTGTGGTTTTCAAAAAGAAAGCAGTCCAGTTGCAACTGGACCTTAAACCTCACTAAAATAGAGCAAGCCCAAAGAGTTCTCCTGTTCTGAGTAACTCTGTAGAGCGCAAGCATTATCATGAGCTGGTGCCCGTGGCTGAAACACCACATTTTGGTGCTGGTGGAATCTGAAGGCCGCTGAAGCTTTGGAAAACAATGCCGAGAGAGGTATGATTGAAACAGGCAAGAATTGATACTGAGGTAAAATACTACCCTGCCCACTACACATTATTGATTTCAGTCCAAACCAAATCAGCAAAAAACTCTGTATTCTGAAGTTTAGCAACAATGGACACAGACAGAATTGTGTTAACTTACAGGGAAGAAACAATGTTGCTTAGAGGACCAGCTGGTTTTATGTCCCCAAACCTGAAAAGTTTTACTGAAGAATAACTTGAGTTGATTCAAGAGGAATGGAGTGAGTGATTGATTCCTTTATCAGTGTAAACCTCACCAAGTTACGTATCTGGCAAGAGACAATAGAGGGTAACCAATGTGAATTTGAGAACTCCCCAGATTTCATCATTATGCGATGTGCAAATGCACAGCATGTAAGTTATAACATGGAAGAAACGGTCACAGAGGAAGAATCCAGCAGGAGTTAGTAAATTGCTGACTAGCCCAAAGAGCATCCTTGCACTGACATCTTTCTGTTTCCACCAAAGTCTTGTTTCTTTGGAGTAGACTTAGAGGCAGATCTCACCTGATTGCAGGGGGCGTACGGGGATGGCCAACTCCGTGGTGGTTCTGCTTGCAATACGGCCTGGAGATTGTGCCACGAGTCCTGCGCTGCCTGCCAGCTGCACGAGGTACAGCAGCGGGTTTCCTAAGCAGCCCTTTTCACTTCTCAGTTCACAAGGTCTCCACCCAGGGGACGTGGGAGGAAGGACAAACCCTTGTGCACTGAGGCCTCCTAGCCTCAAAAGGAAGGAGAGGGTTTGTACCGCTCTAGTCCTTGGCAATGCCAAGCTGCACAGGACCCCAAGGATGGGTTTGAAACTTCTTGGCCCTCCAGAGAACTGAGACCACCTCTCTCCAGAGTGAGAGTGCGTGGTAGCTGGTTCGTGTCAGCCTTGTAAGTATTCATAGGGGGAGAGGAGCTAGCGTGAGGCGTGAAAAACAAATGGTCACCAATATAAGCCCACAGTTTCCTTTTCTTAGGGTACCTAAAGGCAAATGGTGTTCTTACCGCTCCCTGCTTCAGACAATACCAGCCTAGATTGCAACAGGAAGAGTAGCTACAAGTTTGTTACGTCCTGTAAATGTACATGGTAGTCAAAATGGGGGCAGTAAGGAAAGGTCTGGCTGGAACTTTTGCTGATAGAACAGCTTGAATGAACAGTAGCTGTGGCAAGCCCAGGTTCCTTGCATTCCTCTGCAAGGCCAGAGAATTTGCAAGGTGCACGTGCCCCCAGCAGAGATGGGGAGGTTTGCAGGACCTACTCGGAGCCACTTGGCATTTCTGAGGAGTAAGCACAGCACTCCAGCTATGTCCTAGCCCCCTGAGATAGATCTGGAGCCCTTGGCCAATTGTTACATTACTATGTATGCTTAAATGCCTGGATCTAGGCCATCCCCTACACAAAATGCCTTTTTTTTTTTTCAGGTGACAGTAGGTCCAAGGCCTTGGAATGTTTAATTTTCCGCTAATGTATGCTGTTAATTATGTGGATTACTTGAGCTAAAATCATGAGGTCCTAGCTTCTTTTTGCCTCAGGGACTGGGTCCTGAGTAGTTTTCCCTAGAATTGGTGTTGATGGGGGATTACACAGTGGCTGACTATTACAGGGAAGATGCTTTAGTCTCCTTTGTAAAGGAGAAAAATGAAGACAAAACTATAGCTTTGCAATGAATTTTGTTTTCTTAGCCTTAACCATCACTCATCATTTTGAACTGGTGCCCTAAACATGCAAAAACATTCCATAAGTAAGCAAAAATATTTATATATATTTATATGCACAAAATGCCTGAATTTTGGTTCTCAAAGCCAACAAGCAAAAGCCACCAAAGCATGATCTATATCCACAGATGACTATTCCACCTCATGTTCTCCATTTATTGACTGGGAGTGGATGGGGTTGGGGAAAGTTAAGATTTCTCCTTGTTGAAAAAGCATCTTGCACTTTCTCTATGTTACTACAAACAAGGCAAAGTAGTTAAGGAAGAAATTGGATCATTTTTAAAAGGCAAAAGTTTGTTAACTGCAGCTCCACTTCTGTAGCATTTGCTTTACTGCAAACTGGCTTACTCAGATTTGGTTCCCCACCTGCTTGTAACATTAAAGCTTCTCCCTAGTTAAAGGGGATAAAATAAAGGGGTTAGTCTCAAAGTAGTGCAAGGATGCTAGTCATAGTGTGTGCGTGTGCGTGTAATTGTGCAATGGCTTGTGAAATGATAGCAAGT